GTGAGTGAGTGTGTGTGAGTGAGTGAGTGAATGAGTGTGTGTGTGTGAGTGAATGAGTGTGTGTGAGTGAGTGAATGAGTGTGAGTGAGTGAGTGAATGAGTGTGTGTGTGTGAGTGAGTGTGTGTGTGTGTGAGTGAATGAGTGTGTGTGAGTGAGTGAATGTGTGTGTGTGAGTGAATGGGTGTGTGTGTGAGTGAATGAGTGTGTGAGTGAGTGTGTGTGAGTGAGTGAATGAGTGTGTGTGTGTGTGTGAATGAGTGTGTGTGAGTGAGTGAGTGAGTGAGTGTGTGTGTGTGAGTGAGTGAGTGTGTGTGAGTGAGTGAGTGTGTGTGAGTGAGTGAGTGTGAGATGCTCTGCAGGACTCATTCCCTGTTTGAGGATAAATCCCATCTGTCTCTACAGGATCAGCCCGTTTAATCTCCCACAATCCCTCACTGTTGACACACAATCAGGTCTCTGCACGCAACCGTTCCCACCACATACTGTATATCTGATACCTTTTACTGCCCACAGAAACACGACCCTAAACTGACCTGACCCCTGACAGAGAGGACTGTGGGAAATAAAGCTGCAAACAAATGAAAGTGGAACAACCAACAGCAAAGGTCTATTCAAACACATGCTCTGGGATTGAGTTTCATTCATTTCTGAAGAATCAGAACAGAATATCTGTATATTTTACTCTACATCTGCACTTCTGAATTTATGAGACTGTCTGGCAACGGCGATGTGTCCGAATTTTATTTCTTTGTCCTTTACACTGATTTTGTGGGCAATACAGATGTAAAATATGTCATGCCAATAAAGCAGCTTAAAACTGACCCGGTCTGTGAATCCGTTTCATTTACTTCACCTGCAGGTTATTAAATCTGTTTCAGGAACCACACATATGAATCTATTGTTCTACCTGCATGAGGAAACATACAGAATCTCAGCAGTGCATTTCAAAACATCAGCATGTTCATTCATTTAAGATCACTGGATGAGTCCTCAGAAAAAGCAGGTCTGGACTCTGGAGCCAAGAGATTTCATGCTGTTTTCCACTGCATTATCACTGTATGAATGTCAGCATCTCTCCGTCATCACTTCACAGACTGTGATCACACATGAACTAAATCTGGGATCTCATGAGAACATGAGGTCCATTATTATATCAAAAGAAGAAACAACACAGATGATCTTAAATGAATTGAATGAGGTTGGATTTAATAATGTTCCACAAACATTAAGACTTTAAAGATGAATCTTTAATTTCACTGTAAGATGTTGAAATAGTTTTACAACAGTGAAGACTCTGAAACTAAAACGGATTATTGATGTGCTTAAACACTCTTCATAAATACAAATAAAACAATAGTTTCATAGACTAATAGAACAATATAATAATATGTGGCAGTCCTACACAACTGTACTTAGAACAAGCAGATCAACGTTTTCTCCCATCATCCTCTTGTTTCTTCATCATTCTGGAACAGTTCATATGTTCAGAGACACAAACACTATAAAACTTCATCCAGCTCAAACTCTCTTCTGACCCAGCAGATTGATGTACATTCATGTAAGAAGCTGAAATCCTGAAGGTTCAGTCGTTCATGACCCGAATCTCACAACTACTGGTGGCCTGACTTGCCCTCGCTCGCTCACGGAGCCTCGTGATGCTGCGGCGCCCCCTGATGTACGACGAGGGCGTTACACCATCAGCACATTCAGCAGCCCTGCCGTTCCTCTGAATAACCGAGTGGACACGTGTGCTGCTGCTCTAACACACAGGAGATATCTTCATCATTACCGTCTGCTGGACGACTGCAGCTGATGGCGACTCCAGCCTGACGGAGCTGAACACAGATCATTAAGACAAAACCGAAAAAGAAGATACCAGATATGGCTGTGGTGTGTGGTTGCTCTCTTCATGTCAGCTCTCTAGACATGGAGACTGAATTTAATGCTCAGGATTAATGACATCACTATGAGAACTAGTCAAGAATGCCTAAAGATTGTCATGTGATTGTAACAGTGCTGTGACTGTAATGATGTTGTGATTGTAACAGTATTGTGACTGTAATGATGTTGTGATTGTAACAGTATTGTGACTGTAACGATGTTGTGATTGTAACAGTATTGTGACTGTAACGATGTTGTGATTGTAACAGTATTGTGACTGTAACGATGTTGTGATTGTAACAGTATTGTGACTGTAACGATGTTGTGATTGTAACAGTATTGTGACTGTAACGATGTTGTGATTGTAACAGTATTGTGACTGTAACGATGTTGTGATTGTAACAGTATTGTGACTGTAACGATGTTGTGATTGTAACAGTATTGTGACTGTAACGATGTTGTGATTGTAACAGTATTGTGACTGTAACGATGTTGTGATTGTAACAGTATTGTGACTGTAACGATGTTGTGATTGTAACAGTATTGTGACTGTAACGATGTTGTGATTGTAACAGTATTGTGACTG